CCCGTCTTGGCCTCCCAAAGTGCTGGGATTACAGGCTTGAGCCACCGCGCCCGGCCTAGTTGAATATTTTTTACAATTTCATTTTAGCTATCAGCTTCTTACCTCTACTTTTCACTTCTTTCCCTATATCTTTCATGTCTGTATTATGCTTACACTTAGCTCTACCTTCTTGAGCATATGAAGCATATTTATAATAGGGGTTTTAACGTCCTTGTCTCCTAACTCAGTCTGTCAATTCTGGATCTGTTTCTGTTGATTGATTCTTATTATTATGGTTCATTATTTTCTGCTTCTTTGGATGTTTGATAGTTTATTATTGGATTCCAGACATTGTGAGTGTTTTAGGTTGTTGGGTGATGGAGTCTCTCTCTCAGTGTGTGTGTGTGTTCTTTTAAATATTTTTGAGTTTTGTTCTGGGACAAGGTTAAGTTACTTGGGAATAATGTGATCATTTTGCAGCTTGCTTTTTAGCTTTGTTAGTGGGGTCTAGAACAGCCTTGAGTCTAGTGCTAATTTTGTTCCACTATCCAGGCAGTACCCTTGTGAGGGCTCTGCTCTTCTCACTGACTCCTGTACTGGGAGGTCTTTCCACTCTGGCCGGTGGGAGTGCAATTCCCGGCCATGTGTGACCACTCTGTCTGCAGCCACGTGTGACCACTCACTGTCCGGCCATGTGTGATCACTCTCTGGGGATTGTTCCACCTGATTATTTCCTACAGTCTTTGCCTGGCCTCAGTTGCTTTCATCACATGTGTGCACTATTCAGCACTCAGATAAGACTCGGATAGAACCCTCTGCAGGACTCCGAAGTGCTCTCTCTCTCTGTTCTCTCCTGTCCAGTACTGTATCCCACCAGTTCTGGCCACCTGGGCAACCTCAAACATGAACTTTCTTCTCCTCAGCATAGGGAGACTGCTGGCTCTGTTACCCTCTTCTGCACTGTGGCCTGAAAACTCTCTCTTGAGGCAGTAAGCCGGGAAACTGAATTTATATTTGTGAAATGTCCCGTTTATCTCAGGTAATTGTCTTGAGATACAGCAAATCTAACACTGGTGTAGCTAGTCCTGCATTTTATGCTGTGTTTTGCAGGGTTTTTCCTTCCTTTCACCTTCTGCCCATCTGTATCATTGTATTTAAAGTATATTGCTGATAGCACAGAGTTGAGTTTTTCTAGATTTCTGATAATCTCTGCCTTTTAATTGGAATGTTTTGTCCATTTACAGTTAATATAATTAATATGGCTTGATTTTAGGCTACCATTTTTGTTTGGTTTGTCCTACCAGTTTTATTATTGTTCCTTTGAACCTTCTTTCCTGCCTTCTTTTAAGTCAGTTGAATACTTTTTTCAATTTCATTAAAAAGCTATCAGCTTTTTATCTCTACTCCTCTCTTTGCATTATATTTCTAGCGTTTGCCCTAGGGATTACCATAAACATACTTATCACATTAGAGTTAGCAGGTAGGTCCATTTACCCACCCATGTCCCTACCTATATGTGTCAAATGTATAACATTGAAATGTATTATAAACACAATATAGTGTTATAATTTTTGCTTTCAACAGTCGTATGTTTTAACGAAATTAAAAGGAGGCTGGGCGCAGTGGCTCACGCCTGTAATCCCAGCACTTTGGGAGACCGAGGCGGGTGGATCACGAGGTCAGGAGATCAAGACCATCCTGTCTAACACGGTGAAACCCCATCTCTGCCAAAAAAATACAAAATAATTAGCCAGGCGTGGTGGTGGGTGCCTGTAGTCCCAGCTGCTGGGGAGGCTGAGGCAGGAGAATGGTGTGAACTCAGGAGGCAGAGCTTGCAGTGAGCCGGGATCACGCCACTGCACTCCAGTCTGGGTGACAGAGCGAGACTCCATCTCAAAGAAAAAAAAAAAGAAAGAAATTAAAAGGAAAGAAACAGTCTTTTACATTTACTTACATATTTACCATTTCTGGTGTTCATTTTCTTTCTTTTTCTTTTCTTTTTTTTTTTGAGGTGGTTTCACTCTTTGTTGCCCAGGCTGCAGTGCAGTGGCACAATCTCGACTCACCACAACCTCCACCTCCTGGGTTCAAATGATTCTCCTGCCTCAGCCTCCTGAGTAGCTGGGTTTACAATCATGCACCACCACGCCCAGCTAATTTTGTATTTTTAGTGGAGACGGGGTTTCTCCATGTTGGTCAGGCTGGTCTCGAACTCCAGACCTCAGGTGATCCACCCGCCTCGGCCTCCCAAAGCACCATTTCTGGTGTTCTCACTTCTTCCCAGTGATTAGGCTTTGCCTGCGGTATCATTCCTCTTCAGCCTGAGCTCCCGTTAGCATTTCTTCAAGTTCAGGTCTCCTGATGAGTTGTCTTACTTTTCATTAACCTGAAATGTATTTATTTTGCCTGTATTCTTTAAGGTTGTTCTCATCAGATAAAGAATTCTGAGGCCGGGCGCGGTGGCTCATGCCTGCAATCTCAGCACTTTGGGAGGCCGAGGTGGGAGGATTTCTTGAGGCCAGGAGTTCAAGTCCAGCCTGGGCAACAAGTGAGACCCCATCTCTGAAAAAAACAGCAAGGCACGGTGGCACACACCTGCAGTCTTAGCTGCTTGGGAGGCCGAGGTGGGAGGATTGCTGGGCCCAGGAGGTTGAGTCTGCAGTGAGCTGCAAAAGAACCACTGCACTCCAGCCTGGGCAACAGAGCAAGGTCCTGACTCAAAAAAATCCTGATTTGACAGATTTTTTTCCTTTCAGCACTTGAATGTTTTCCCTATGTCTGGGCCTCCATTGCTTCTGGAAGAGTCAGCTGTGGGCTGTCTCTGGGGCCCTTACGTGTCACTATCTCTCCATCTCCCACCACACTGGCTGCTGTCATGATTTTCTTTTTGAACTTGTATTTCAGCAGTGTGATAATGATGTTGCTAGGTGTTTTCATTTTATTTATCCTGGGCTTTTTGGATTTATATTTGTGTTTCACCAAATTTGGGAAATTTGCTCTTTTTTCCTTCTGGGACTCCAGTTAAATGTTAGGTCTTCCATATCTAGTAGACACACATTTGCGATTACTGCTCATTATTTTCTGTTTTCTGTCCTTTGGACTAATTTGTATTTACAGACTTTCTTTAGCTGTCTTCAATCTGCTGTTAACCTCTCCAGCAATTTTTTTAGTGCTTGTATTTTTCAGCCCTAGAATTTACACTTAGTTCTTTTTTTTATTGGCTAAAATTGCCTATGTGTTAATTTGTTTAAAATATATTTTCCTTTATATCCTTGAACAGAGTTGTAACTGCTGCTGTAAAATCTTAGCTACCAGTTCCAATATCTGGGTCATGTAGGATTGATCTCCATTACTTGCCTTTTGAGTATGGATCTAATTTTCCTGTTTCTTATGTCTAGTCATTTTTTTGTATCATGGACATTGTGGATAATCCATTGTAGAGACTCTGGATTCTGTTACATTCCTCCAAAGAGTTTTGCTTTTTTTGGTTCGTTTTATTAGGCAATCACCTTTGCTCAGCTCTGAGTAGAAACTCTTTCCCCTGTGGTGGACAGCAGCTGAAATCCTTGCTGGTAGCTTGAGTTGGCCATCTTAAAGTCTGTGCCTCCCCTGCCTCACATGTAGTGTGGGAGCAACTAGTGATGAGGGCAGGGTATGCCCAGGATTCGGGCTCCCCTCTATGACCCGCTGTATCCCCACATTTCCACCTTCACATTCCAGCTGCTGTGGTCAACAAAAATCTTGATTCTGGTTCTTTAAGCCTGGAAAAGGGTAGGCTTCTATGTGGCTCTCTGATCCCCACACTGGCCCTGACTTCTACCCTGAGGCAGAAAGTTGTGAGAAGCGGCCGGGTGCAGTGGCTCACGCCTGTAATCCCAGCACTTTGGGAGGCCAAGGCAGGCAGATCATGAGGTCAGGAGATCGAGACCATCCTGGTTAACACGGTGAAACCCCGTCTCTACTAAAAATACAAAAAATTAGCCGGGCGTGGTGGCAGGCACTTGTAGTCCCAGCTACTCGAGAGGCTGAGGCAGGAGAATGGCGTGAACCCAGGAGGTGGAGCTTACAGTGAGCTGAGATCACGCCACCGCACCCCAGCCTGGGAGACAGTGAGACTCTGTCTCAAAAAAAAAAAACAAATGAAACAAAGTTATGAGAAGCAGGAAGCCGGCCCAGTGCCACCCGCTCCCAGCATCAGCCTGCTCCCAGCTGCCCCCAGTGCCTTTCCACGTGTCTGTCGTTGTTAGAGGGGGGGCTGCTCTCATAGGAGACGTGCTCCTGTTGTCAGAAGCCTCTCTTCTTATTCTTTTTCTTTTTTTTTTTTGAGACAGAGTCTGGTTTTTGTTGCCCAGGCTGGAGTATAGTGGTGCGATCTCAGCTCACTGCAAGCTCCATCTCCCGGGCTCAAGCAATTCTCCTGCCTCAGCCTCCCAAGTAGCTGGGACTACAGGTGAGTGCCACCACACCCAGCTAATTTTTGTTTTTTTGTTTTTTTTTTTTTTGGTAGAGACGGTGTTTCACTGTGTTAGCCAAGATGGTCTCGATCTCCTGACCTTGTGATCCATCCGCCTCGGCCTCCCAAAGTGCTGGGATTACAGGCGTGAGCCACTGTGCCCGGCCTCTTTTTCAACCATAATTCAACATACAGAATTCCACACACCTGCATGTGTCAGACCCTGCAGCTTTGCTGATGCCTGCAGGGCCTCCGCACCCACCAGTTGTGTTGCCCTAGCAGATAGTTCCCGGGGCTCACAAACTGAGTATTGAGAAACGAACTTGAGAAACGTGCTGGTGACTGTGTGGGCCTCACTGGACTGCAGTCTCCAGAATTCACAGGAAAGCTCCCCGGCAGTGGCTTTTCCTCAGGGCTGAAGGGTCAGCCCCGTGAAACACAGACTCCCTGATCCGGCTGCTCACGCCCCTCTGCGCCCTTCCACTTCCATCCACTGGCCCGTTTTGCTGCTGGAAAAACAACTCAGTCTAATCCTAACAAGGTTTCTTTGTTGTTGTTTGGTTTGGTTTTGAGACAGGGTCTTGCTGTGTCACCCAGGCTGGAGTGCAGTGGCACAGTCACGGCTCCCTGCAGCCTCAGCCTCCCAGGTTCAAAGGATCCTCCTGAGTGGCTGGTGTGCACCACCGCGCCCTGCTCCAGCAGGGTTTCTACTTCTAGGAGAACTGTAGTTTTACATATAAAAGCAAAATTGGACTATAGAGATGCCCAGACTGCTATATCCTCAAAATTAACAGAAAATCCACATTTTAAATATTTCACCAACTTCTTTATTGTCTCTATGGTTGCTTGAAGCCTATGGGATTTAGTAACTCGAAATGCAAAAGAAAAAAGAAAGAAACCAAGAAGGCCAGCTAAACTGAGAAAGGCCAGGCACACGCTCCCTCATGGCTGCTGTAGCACCGCCCAGGGCCACATGCACCACCTCACCCGGCCACGGCTCCCACGTCTGCTCAGCTTTCCCGCCGTCATCTGAGCACAGCCCGCACACACTCGACGCTGGAGACCGGCAACACTCCTGTCACCCTTGTCCTGCCCCCCACCGCCCCCACCCAGCTACGCCACCCGTCTTGCCCCCCACCACCCCTCACCCACCTACGCCACCCGTCCTGCCCCCCACCACCCCTCACCTGCCCTCCGCACCCTCTGCCTGCCTTCTGGAAACCACTTCGTTGCCCTCTCCAAAGCTAGCTCTGCACACAGAGCAGTCACACACGCTAGGCCCTGGTTGCATCAGGAGGATACTGGCCCTTTCTGACCACAGGGTCCCTCTTCGACCCTGGCCAGCTCCTTCCTCTCCCTCTCTCCCTGTGCCAACCCTTCTCTGAATTCTGCCACTGCAGGACCTCAGCCTGACCTGGACTCCCCGCTACAGCATTAGCCAAGCTTGTTCTCCTGTGTCCTTATGTCCTGTGTCCCCTGTGTCCCCAGCACAGTGCCCGGCACATGGCAGAGTGGTTTGTCAACATCTGAGGCAGCATCTTTTCAGTTGTAGATGTTTGCCCTCACCCTCTGATTCGTGACTGCGTGGAAGGCTTGCACTCCACCAGCACCCACCCTTAAATACAGGTCTGCTGCCGGGTGATGGGAGGGGCCATCCAACAAGCTTATTATATCTTCATAGCTGAGACTCCACCTCAAAAAAATAATAATACCCAAGACAAACCACTGGATATTGCTGCCTGCCCTCCAGTGTGACATGCATGTCCACTCCCAAGACTTGAGTGCAAAACACAGGGCCTCTGCCGCCCCGGGAGGCTCTGCCCGCGCACACAGGGGGAGCAGGCCTCTGTGCACAGCTGCTGAGGACTTTCCAGGGCCCTGGCTCTGCATTTCCAGCTGAAAGGCCAACCGAAGCTTCCTGTTAACCGTCCACACATGGCACATGTGCGGTCCGTGGGCACCGCATCCCCCCATCACCACTGGGAAGCCTCAGTGCACTGCGTCCTCCAGCAGGGAGGCACCCCACCCGCCTCCAGGGGCAGCAGCATGTGCCTGGCCTGCGGGCAGAGAGTTGTGCCCGGTTGTTGAGGAAAGCTGAGTAACATCTGCTCCTCTGCCCCAGGCCTACAGATTCCTGGAGGAGATGCGGCGGCGGCTTCCCTTGGCCAACATGTCCTACTACGTGAGCCCACGGGCTGTGGACGCCGTGCACCAGGGGCTGGGTCTCCCGCTGCCACGCACGGTGCCCGAGCGGGTCCGCCACAACAGCATGGAGGACCCCAGGGAGCCGGACGAGGAGGTGGTGGAAGAGGCAGACGACGACCCCTGACGGGCCTGGGCCCCAGGACCAGCGTGCTGCTGCAGGAAGGCACCTTCTGGAATTTTCCAGTCAGCTGCAGCAAAGCCAGCCTTTTCACTGGGAAAAAACACGTCTGTGATGGAAGACGCAACAGAGCTGGGCGGGAACGCAGCGGCCCGGGCCGGCAGAGCTGTGCCCCATCTGCACCGTGCTGCCTCCGGGTGCCGGCGGCTCCGTAGATTTGTGGATTCGTTCCTTTAAAGGGAGTCGGGTTCACCCTTCCATCATATTCTCCCAACTACACACTGTAAAGCCTGAGAAACTTGTAGAACCTCGGTTAGGCAGCTGCAGCTGGAGGGCTGGGGCACCTGCCCCCACACATCACATCCCCCCACACTCCTGCAAGACCCACGGCTCCTGAGCAACAGCTGGGACACCCGGGCCCTGGTGGCTGCACCCCCCACTAGGCTCTGCCCACCGGCCACCAACACTCCTGCAATTCCAATAAAGTAGTTTATTTTCTGGGAGCCCGTGTCCTGTCCACCCGCCCCACAAGCCCATCCAGGAGCCACACGCCCTGCCTGGGCTGCGAGCACGATTCTCCTGGTGACACGGCGCTCAGCCCAAGGGACCTGGGACAAGAGCTGCTCTGTCCTGCTTGGTGGCGCTCACAGGAGTGCCTTGGGGCTCTGAGCAGCAGGTACACCGTCCTCCCCTCCTGCCAGCCTGGTTCTGCCCTCACTGGAGGAGTCAACCCTACCAGCAACGCCCACGGCCCTGGCCACAGCCCCACGTCCAGGCTGCCATGTCCCGGCGGGCAGTGCCCAGGCCCAGTGTATTTTTAGCAGACTTGCTGCACTATAAATAGCGGCAGGCCGGGCCTTCCTGCATCTGCACTCTCCGAACCGGATGCTGCCGCCGACCTGACCTCGCTACCAAGCCTGGCTCCGCTGCTTCAGGCCGCTGCTCGGCCACCGTCCTTGCTGCCGGCGGGGGTGGTCCTGGGGAGGCCTCCAGGGACTAGGGAGATGCGGGTGGGAGGAGCCTGTTCTTGAGTCTCTGCAGAAGCAACAGGGCCCTCAGTGCCAGCGTCCTGCAGTCCTCGTCCGGGTCTTTCTCAGCCACGTCTGCCAGAGAGTGACAAGCAAAGCTGAGGCAGCGTGGAGGGCGTATTCTCCCTCCTGTCTTCAGTCTGCCTGAACCGCCCCACCAGGCCTGACTCCACGGAAGAAAGGGGGCTTGGGTCTGCAGTGAGCCCGGACCCTCCCCAAGGCCACGTCCTGCGTGCCACAGGCTCTGTGCAGGCAGCACTGTACACAGAGGGCTGCCCTGAGCTGTGGGACAGGCAGCCATGGGAAGGGGGCCTGGGGTGGGGCACACAGCCCGGGAACACCCGAACACTGCAGGGCCTGCTCCGTGCTGGACAGCAGACATGGGCTGCGGTCAGAGGTAGAAGACCCTAGGCATCCAGGTGGTGGGCGTCGGGAGGTGCCCCCTGCCTGTGGGGAGGCCTCTGGGGTGTCTGGGACTGCACACTGCCCCCCCCAGGTCGGAGCCAGAGTCCTCGGCTGCCCGCAGGGCTGGGCCCCTCACCAAGGTCTCCTGCCGCCTGGAGCCTGGTGAGCCTTGAGGGCTCTGCTGGCCGCAACTACTCCCCAGACTGGCTAGAATCACAGGGTGAGGAAGCACCTGTAGACCCCTGGGAGAGGTGCCTGTGAAAGGAGAATACCCTGCCGGGACCCCACCAGCCCTGAGTGGAACGGGATCGGTCGAGGGACAGAGCCCCCCTGCTCCTCCTGGTGCTTCAGGTCCCCAAAGCCCCCAGACGATGACGTGGCAGGCACCAAGTCTCTGGGGAAGGAGGCAGGCCGGGGACTGCAGGGAATGTGCTCGCCCAGCCAGCCCTGTCAGTGGCTCCACTGGCCAAGGGGGAACCTCTCCTCCTCCAGGCAGGGCAAGTGGGCGAGAGCACGCTGAGGAGGGGCTGCGCAGCAGCTCCAAGAGACCGGTGTCTGGGGCACCGCACCCCCCTTGAAAAAAGCAAAGCCCTGCGCAGGCTCCCTGCACTTTCGGCCCAAGACCCTCCAGCTGCTCTGTGGGAAGACATTCACAGCCACCCTGAGCACAGGGCCTGGGAGGGGACAGGGCAGAGCTGGGCCCACCCTTCCCATGTCCATCGGTCCCATGCTCTGCTCCTCAGCCCATCCCCGGGGACTTGTCAGCTCCATTCCTGTGGGAAACACCCGTTCACACCCAGCAGACTGGCACTGCGCCCAGGTGGGGAGAGGGGAGACGGCCGGGGCAGAAGAGGCACACAGCCCAGCCCCACGGGAAAGGTGACCTCACCACAAGCATCCCCCAGCGTCCCCCAGCACAGAGGCCTGAGTGCAAGTCCCTGGGAAGGACCCACATCACCCAGGAGCCTCCTGACAAACACATGGAAACCGAGGGTGGTCCAGGGGCTGGGCTGCGAACCCACCCTAAGTGCCCCACAAACCAGTCACTGGACCACAAGGGCAAGCAAACAACAACAGGTGCTGGGACTGTACCAGCCAGAGGAGCCCAGGGAGGCGGGCGGGCAGGGGCTCAGAGGGGCCCAGGGAGGCGGGCGGGTGGAGGCTCAGAGGGGCCCAGGGAGGCGGGCGGGTGGAGGCTCAGAGGGGCCCAGGGAGGCGGGTGTGTGGGGGCTCAGAGGGGCCCCAGCGGAGTCCAGGATCAGGCCAGTGCGGGGGTGGCTGCACCTCCGGCCTGCACACTCTGCCTGTGTGGGTCCCAAGGGGTCATGGCGGCCTGTCCTTAGGCCCAGCTCAAGTACCGAAAGGCCAAAGGTCACAACGTTCACGATTGACTTTTACAGGGTCCAAGCGCAGTGGCTCATGCCTGTAATCCCAGTACTTTGGGAGGCCGAGGTGGGAGGACTGCTTGAGCTCAGGAGTTTCAGATGAGCCCAGACAACACAGCAAGACCCCATCTCTACAAAAATTATTTTAAAAGCTAGCAGGCTGTGGTGCTGTGCACCTGTGGTCCCAGCTACTCAGGAGGCTGAGGTGGGAGGATCACTTGAGTCCAGGAGCTCAAGGCTGCAGTGAGCCAAGATCGTGCCAGTGCACTCCAACCTGAACAGCAGAGCAAGACCCCTGTCTCAAAAACTACATAAACGTTTTAAAAATAAAAAGAACATATATGGGGGGAGCCAAGTGGCAAAACGTTCCCCAGGTGAGCCTGAGGGACGGGCTCTGGGCTTGCAGGGCTGTCCTGGTGGCTTTCTCAGAAGGAAGCCCATTTGTGGAGGGAGGTGTCTTCCCTCGTCTCCCCTGCAGGATTCCACAGCAGCCACAACAGGAACAGGCACTGGATTCCCCACACCGGGGCCACCACGTGCCTCTGGATGTCCACGAGAGGGACGTGCCCCCCAGATGAGAGGCCCGGCTCCCAGCCAGCTGGCCCAGGCCCAGCCTGCAGGAGCTGCGCCACACACACACACAGAGCCTGGGCCGACACTTACCCGCCAGCCAGGACTGGGCTTCCAGCAGCTCATCCAGCAGGTCCTCCAGCAGGCGCGCGGCAGGCACGCTGAGCAGGACGGAGGAGACGGCCGACAGCAGCCCCTGGCGCACATAGCTGCCAGCAGAAAGGTGGAGGCTGAAACCGGCAGGGACCACGTCCCAGGCCACGGAGACCTCCCACTCCCCCAGTGCGGTGGACCACCCATGCTGCGGCCCTGCCTGGCACATTTCCTATTTGGGAAGTACCAGGCCAGGCTGCCTGTCAGTCACCTCGAGGCTCCGTGGGGCCCCCATGATGAGACCCTTGTGTCTACATGCACCCCTGGCCTGGCCGAACCCCACAGGCCACTCACGCGTCGACGTGGAAGCGAAGGGCCCACACGAATTCCAGCAGGGCCTTGCCCATGGCCACAGCCACCTGGACACCAGCAGAGAGACAGTCAGCGGGGTCCCCACGCCGTCCCCACATCCCAGCACCCACGGGCAGCTTCCGCTGCTGGGCAGCAGCAGGGACAGGGCCTGCCTGACAGCCGAGGGGATGCTCCCGCTGCCTGGGGGCCCACACAGGCAGCTCCTCCCTCAGACACCCATCCTTGGGCACAGGTGAGGCTGAGGAGCGCTCCTGATCCACGGGCACCGCAGGCCAGTGCCCAGCAACCTCTCCCGGCTCACCGTGGTGTTAACAGCCAGGTACATCAGGGCCCCTAAGGTGTGCGTCAGCCTTCCGAGAACCAGCTGGTCATCTCCCAAGAGGTCGAAGGTCACTACAGGCCTAGAGCACAGGATGGAGCCCAAGGTGCAGGGGCGCCTCAGGGCCAGGTCCCCAACATCCTGGGCCACCGCGGGAGACCGAGGGAGCCCCACACAGCCCCTCCTCCTGCGCCCACCACCTTGCCTGCACTGAGACCGCAGGACCGTTCCCGGGTGCCCACTCCCCCTGCAGGGCTGTCTGGCACAAGCCCACCTGGGCCAGGAGTTCCCAACGCCGAGACCCCCCACCCCTGCTGCACCATGACTCAGGCCCCACACTTCTCTGCCATCCCGAGAGCCTCACGCCCTGAACCTGGGGCCAGAGCAGCACTGGCTGAGGCAGGAGGCGGCGAGGAGGGCCCAGTGGCTGGTGGCGTCAGGCACATGCGGGCAGCACTGCCGGCCATGCCACACGCCCAGCATCAGAGCAGACGCCCGGCACCTCACAGCAAAGCTCAACCACAGAGGAACTTTGCAGAACGTTCCCTGCCACTTAACACAGGCTTACAAAAAGCCACAGCAAAGCCGCAACCCTGTTCACACCCAAGCCCACTCAGACCCCAGCCTGGAAACCTCTTGGCCACAGGGGTACATCCAGGGTCCCTGACCCCCACGTCCACAGGCCCACAGAACACCCACTCACCTGTCAAAGTGCTGAAGGAGGGGGAAGAAGAAGTGGCCGGCCACGGAGCTGAATCTGCTGGGGCCACCTGCTGGGCCCTGCCTCGGGCCACCCTGCCAGACACACATGGCACTCACGGAGGCACAGGCCTGGGCAGCGGGCACAGCACCCCTACCCCGAGAGGATCCCACAAAGCAGCGTGGACCCCAGCCTCGCCTTGCCTCCCTGGGCCACTCCTCCGGCCCCGCCCAGCTCCCAGGCCCCGCGAGGTTGGTGACGGGAGTCGGGCTCCACGGCCAATGCCTGGGCAGCGGACCAAGCCTTCCCGACCTTGCAGGCAGGACGTTCAGGGCTGGAGGAGCGTCATGGCGGGGCCGCCCTGGGCACTGCAGGATGCCTCCCTGGTCTCCAACCCACCGCCAGCAACAACCAAAAACATCTCCAGACGCTCTGAGGACAGAGCGCCACCAGGGCACCTGTCTCGTAGCACGTCCCCACGCCCAGTCTGGGTCCCTGACAGCCAGGTCCAGTTCCTCGGCGCGAACCATGGACCTGCCTTTCAGGAATCCCGGCACAGACACCATCCCCTGCGAATGCGGCTGCCCCTCGCCGTAGACAGCGCCTGGAGGTGTCTGCCACCCCTCCC